GTTTTTTAATGCAGTATGGGGGCAAGTCAAGTATGTCCTCCATGTTCTGATAGTTCTTGTCCAGATGATCTTTGGTAGGTTGATGAAAAGTATCTTATTTACATCAGATGCAGGGTATGGAAGGACAAGAGATGATATATATCCCGCCTGCATGCATGTTTTACATCCGCAATCCAGACTGGGTTACGCCAACAGCAACGACCAAATAACAAATGAAAACCATGCACGCAGGCTTAAAAAAGGGAAACTCGAATACTGTGACGAAGGCGTGGTTTGTGTCTGAACTATCTGGTCATTATTACCCTACATGTCATTATGACTCAATCGAAAAACGTCTTGAGAATTTTAACTATCTCACTGCTCCTAGTTATGTAATTTAAGGTATTTCGCCGATCAGTTCTGAATAGTTCTCGGTGTTTTCCCGGCATTTTTGAATCAACATCTTTCTGAATTTCCTTTTGCTATACGCTGTGTACACAGAACTCAGAAGACGATTTATTTCGTACTCAATTATATATACAAATAAATACTATGGTTTGTTTTATCACAATATATGAAGATATGATGGTCTGGAAACCGAACTGAAGGCATTTGTGTTATGTTCTTGTCTGAGTTTGTTAATTTGTGCACGGTGACCAAAACAAGGCTGGTCAGGCTGGTCTAGTATTTAATTTCTCAGAGAGAATACATGGTATCATGCTTATACTGTGTAAAACTGTTTGTCTTGAAGTGTTCTATAAGGTAGCCGTGACTACCTTGGTTGAAATTAATTTCCAAAGAAAAAAGAATGACAACTATTTTTCGAATCTGTTCATGGTGCAGATATTTCGCCTATAGGAGTGAAGTAGCAACGCTGTGAATTTACTGAATTTCGGGAATGAAACGATACGCATATTACGCGTTCCTTATAAACCATTTTGTAGTCTTGTCTATTCACTTGAAGGTCCATTATACCAATTAGTCGTATTTATTCACTTAATTACTTAATTAAAGAGGCATTTTTCTTAGGTATTAATCCACTTTCTTGAGTGGACAATAGAAATGTCACGACAATTATGAGGCTGGATTGCTATAAATGAATGTTTAATAATATATATAGAGCATGGAGTAACCGTGGAAATTTTCTTGCACCTTGCAAGAAATTTTTGTCATCATATATACAGGAATGCTATATAATTTACTGTTGTTTGAAAATTCCAAATTAAGCATTTTGCAAAATCGAGATGTGCAGTATAATAGTTCACACTTGTCTGTAATTTAAATATGCAAGACGTTTTATGATTGATTTGCACAGGAAATTTAAATTTTTGAATTTTGCTGCCAGGAAGAAAAATATATTTTCTAGGCTGCATGGGGGTGTTAAAACTCCCCAGCACTCGAAAGTCTGCATCAAAGTAGGTGCCTAATTTCTGCTATGAGAGTTGTTTAATTCACATGCCGCAATGTTTGGTGTATAGACAGGAGCATTTTTTCACCCCAACTCTTCAGGATATGGCATTTCCGAGCCTCAGTTTTGCAAATTTTTCGTGGGGAAGCATGCCCGCGGAAACGCCTAGTTTTCACCGCTTCTAATTTTAAATTATACTTCTGCTGTTAGCTGGAACTGATTAGCCTCCCCAAAAATAAAACCTGTTCCACTGCCACTGGTTGTGGAGTCCAAGTGCGCTTTCCATTCAATGACCAGACCGGTTAGACCAGAATTTCTGTCTCGGTATTAATGGAAAGATCTGGCCACAATACTCGAAAATCAAGTGAAAATGGGCCTCCTTCTAATTTGATCCAAATTTTCAAGTCAGAAAGGTCCGAAGCCCAAACGTTTTGTGTTCTTTTCAATAATTTGACCGGTCTGGCCGAGTTAATGGAAAGCGCCCCAAGAAAGTCGGCCTAGATCGTCCGATACCCCAGCAATTTGTTGAATGTGCGCCCCTGTATGTAGCTTGTGATTCGCCTTGATGAAACATTCGTATTCTCATTAATCTTAATTAAGATTATATAAAGTTTATATAAATCATCAGAATAATTTTGTTTCAGATAAATTCAAGTTCCTTCACGATCATTCCTGTGCCTGCGTAGGTAAGTGGCATCGATTGAACGGCCTGCGGATTGAAAGGCATTCAACTATACCCGAAACGTACAAGCAAAATTTCGACGTTTCGGGCGAAGGCCCTTTGTCGGGAAGTTAGTAAAAAAATAAATCCTCAATCCAAAGCTACCGATTAAATTATTGCACTATGAGTTTTATTCCCAATGGCCTCGTTTCCATGCTTGCCTGCATTCTGCACTGGTACCCGGACATTTTGCCGAAAGACATTTTGCCGAACGGACATTTTGCCGACGGTCATTTTTGCCGAACGGACGTTTTGCCGAACGGACATTTTGCCGAAAGGACAACTTGCCGAAAATGAAGATGTTTTTTTCGTCAAAATGTTTGGGACTGTGACTAATTTCTCAACTGTGTAATTCTCAACCATTGTGTAAAATAACCATTATATGGTCATTAACAGTGCATAATGGTCATTAGCAGAGCATAACGGTTATTAGCAGTGCATAACCATATTGACTATTGGTAGCTTGTTTGTGCAGCGGATGACTCATTTGTTAGGAACGTTTTTATCTTGATGCACGTACAAAACATAAGGAAATATAGCCACAAGAAAGCAAGGCCACTAGGCCAGGGCAAGAATGCAATAAACAGTACAGTCTGTTACTAGATTTTTTTACTGTATGCTATACAAGGCACCGTTTTCGGGCGTCAGTACATTTGTTTTCACTCTTCAGTTGCAATTGCCAATTGGCTGATTTAAATTTTTTGGCATATTCTTATTCCGTGACTCAGTGCCATTAAAATGCGATTTGCGTTAACATATTTAGCGTCGACAATTTGAATGAATTGTTGGCAATTTTACAGCGCATTTTAAATATGACGCATTCAATGATAATTTGTCAAAAGCAATAGACCCCCAAGAGATTCCCTGATGATTTACTAAATATTCCTAATGAATGGTAAGATGAGATAAAGGGAATTTCTGGGCGTTAACCCTTCATTCAAAATGGATTATTGTTGACTGGTTAAATTGGTGTATCAGTTAAGACATGTGCCTCTCAAGTGTTGCGTGTTATATAGGGTAGACACAAAAACAAGCGCTAAGTCGAAAATACGACTATCCGAAAAATACAAACAGTACTTCGACGTTTCGAGCACACAGGACGTCCTTCGTCGAAAGATTAGTAGCCAAGCACGCGTAGCATATTTTTTTATTTCCTGAGCACTCTAGATTCTGGAAGAATCTTAATTTGGAAAGCGTAATGATGATAATTATAATGACGATGATATGATAATAATGCTAATTGCTTAATAAAGTATGATTTTCATCCATGTCTGCCCGACCAGACGGATTACGGAATGTACACGGAACAATCTGACATATATATATATACAATTACACAACTAATATATATATATATATATATATATATATATATATATATATATATATATATATATATATATATATATATATATATATATATATATATATATATATAATGCCGTGGTTTGTGTCTAACTATTAAAGCGTAAGTATATAGTCGAGACAAACGCATCAGCTTATTCTGCAAATTAAATACTACCTGCACTTGATGTCGTGATCACCACGTTTCAAATATTTTTTCAGGTAGTCCAGACACAAACCACGGTAGTTTGTTGCAGAATATTATAGTATTATTGTTATTATCATTATAATTAATTTATATATAGCGCCATTTCCCATAGCTCAATAACATTAAGTGTTTACTAGCTAGAACATAATACATGCATTAAATTACTAAAATTACTATACTATAAAATTACTATAAAATTACCTACACAGCCACTGGACCTCCACGTTTACATTACCAAGGTTCGCTTGCTAACTCCAACACCACTTTGGAAAAGCGTTCAAAATTACCCGTAATTTTAGACATAGGCCTATTTACACTTAGTTTAAAGATAAAGAGCAGAGCCCAGCAAATAACTTTAAAACCAAACATAATAAAAGGAAAAATTTAATTAGCTAACGTTTCGTTGTTTATACAATACAACATCTTCAGAGCAATCTAAATGAATTTACAGGGTATGGTATATATATTTACAAAATAATGGTTTAATATTACAAAAACGGTTACATAATTTGAAAGAACAAATGAATAGAAAGAAAGGAAAACAACTTATCAGTAACTAGTTAACACATGAAAGAAACAAAAAACACATGCACAAACACCCAGTCTCCGCTTCTGATTTCAAAATTCTATCATCAGGCACTTCTGAGTGGGATCTTCTTATCCGTGAAAGCCTATTAATTTCTCAACTTAACCCTGTCCTTAATGCTAATATTAGATCTACCCCTCTTGAGTTATTTTAGTTATGTAATATTAACCTTAACTATACTAACCATACATTAATCTTTACTTATTAACTAGTTACTGATAAGTTGTTTTCCTTTCTTTCTACTCATTTGTTCTTTCAAATTATGTGACCGTTTTTGTAATATTAAACCATTATTTTGTAAATATATATACCATACCCTGTAAATTCATTTAGGTTGCTCTGAAGATGTTGTATTGTAAACAACGAAACGTTAGCTAATTAAATTTTTCCTTTTATTATGTTTGGTTTTAAAGTTATTTGCTGGGCTTTGCTCTTTATCTTTAAACTAAGATTTCCGCCTGGTGTATCGATTGCCACATATTTACACTTGAGAAAAATAGCTCTTGTTGAAGTGCTTATATATAGGCCTATGTTCTTTTCGCACTGTAAATCGATCGCGCTACTTGTGTATAAAGTTACAAATAATAATGTATGCAAGAAAGCAAACACTTCTACTTTATAGGCATTTAGTTTACGAAATAGTCCCTTATTCCTTAATTTCCTCAAAATGTCGATTTTGACCTTTACGACCCTTTTGTCAAGATCTCTGCTTGTGGTTGGTTATAACCATCCATTTTTTCTTATCTCTTGATAACAGAACTCTATTTCAATATATCAAATAATTACCTTTGATGGCTAACCATTTTACGATTCATCAGTCATCTCTCAAGTGAGAACAGCCCCTTGCATATAGGGCAATGAATTGAAGAATTCGGGCAGTTTTGTTGTAAACATTGCAAAGGGAAGACTGAAGGATGGCAAGAATCAGTTTTGGAATTATCTTTGTTGTGGTTGTGGTGGTTGTGGAGGGATACTATTACGATGGTATGGAATACTTTATACTTATTTTGAAGGTTTGTGCCGGACGAAAGGCCCTTTCGATGTCGGAAACAATTTGTATAATACTAGAAAACGTCTAGTTTGTTTTTTAACTTGATTATAACCAGGAGAAGCTATTCAACGACAGTCACGCGAGCTTGGTTATAGCTGTTCTTAATGTGCTTTCCGCTCACTATCATGCATGTACTCTATTTAAGTTAGAAATAGTTGAAACAATCGTCAAACCTTTATTTTGCTAATCTAGAGCTTGAAATGTCTCCCGTAACAATTCGTAATGCCAACTCTCATTAACAATTAACTCTCATTCCGGGGCTAATACTGAGTTATAAGCCTGGTTTCCATATGATCGTAACAGTCGTAAAGATTGAGTCACGATCTTTCTCATCAGCCCTTGAAGAACAACATTTTAGGACTGAAAATATGCGGAGTGATTATAACCAGAGAATACTTTTGATTTATATGTGGTTTACATGTATGAACTATTATAAACTGGCCGTTGAGAAAGATTGTGACTCTATATTTTTACGACCATTTGGAAATCAGACTTTAATTTGCTTATAACCAAAACCCGCTGGTGATGGGATGATCTTTACCGAACCTATAGGTACTAGTTAAAACATGAGCATCCGATCTTTATCTGATATACAAACTCGAGCCGAAGGCGAGAGTTTCTATATCAGATCAAGATCGGATGCGAATGTTTAATTACTGTGCTGAGTGGTTATATTACTACCATAAGAAACAAGCAGAAACTCGACGTTTCGAGCGAAGGCCCTTCGTCAAGAGTTAGTTGTTAGGAGTTTGGCTACTAACTCTTGACGAAGGGCCTTCGCTCGAAACGTCGAGTTTCTGCTTGTTTTTTTTTAAGGTGGTAATATAACCACTATCAGCACAGCATTTTCACATTCATTGGTACTACCCACACTGGTACAGACAGTTTAGAATGTTTAATTAACGTGCTTAAAAACCGACCCATGTTATGAGTTCATTGGCGAAGTAATTTTAAAAATATACATTGTCTATAAGCCGAGAAAATCAAAGCTGAAGTTTATGTAAATCAGGACAAATCTTTATCCGATTTACGAACATTGATTAAACATTCATTTCCGCTTTTGTATTTTCCTCATGAGGAAAATTATGAATGAGTTTTATAAGTACTAGATAAACAGCTATCCATGAGTATATATAAATTAATTAAAATAGGTTTGCTTAAGCCGGTGATCATATTGAATGGTAAATTATAAAATTCGTAAAATAGCATTGACGATGATGACGAATTCATGCAAAATCAGTTTCCTTGGTACAGCCAGTGATTCGAAGCGCTTCTTAACTCCTTCAGCCCTAGAAAAACGTGGAAATTGATGAAACAAACTATGTTTGTGGGTTAGGAAGTACTTTAATTTACTTCAATTTGTTTGCGCATGCATGCAGAAGTGCATATTTTCATGATTGGCCGAAACTTTTAAATTTTTAAACGTTTCTGCAAGAATATGTACTGGCTTGCCCAGGCCATCAAACACGGTAAAATTTAAAACTGGAAAGGCTTGTGGCTGTCGTCCATTGGCTGCTCTGTTAGCTGGATTTATAGTACAGACATATATGTCATAGCTAAATGCATGCATGTGCATGCAATATTATGCCTCGTCATTTAACGCATCTCAAAAACGTCTTCTGCGTTATACTTATACCAATTTGTCATGTGAAAAGATATGCAATCTTATCTATGTGGAGATATCTATGTACTTAAGCGCCGGTCAAGCGAAGATAAAGAGTTGCTGAGAGTTGGCAGTCATGTATTTTTTTATATTACGGAGAGTCGGAGACATTGATGAGTGAGTCAACTCTCATGTATGGCGCTCTTTTCACTTGACGTGCAGTAGTTATAAAATCACTGATAAACTCGTGCCCTTTGATTGCGCTTGCACGCGACTGGAATTGTTATCTATTGTAGTATTAACATTGTTATCTCTCCAACCATTTGTATGTCATTAAGTGTCATGGTTGTTGTTTTTAGACTATTTTCCTGAAGAAAAAAGCTTCAGAAAGAGGAAAGGGGATGATTATTCGCCAATGGTTGTCAGTCAGGAAGTCAGCCGACCAGATAAATGTGAGTGCACACAGCCTAAATTTATGCCCATAGTCTTGAATTGTTACATTGACATCAACTATAGACCCATTGCACTGACGTCACAAATCCTTAGAGTGTCCTCCAGATGCTCCCTAACAATATCTGTTCGGGTACGACAACCACATACAGCGCAAAAATTAACCATTTTAATACAAAATTATTATAAAGTTTTACAAAATTTGCTCTGTTTACAAAAGTTATATTATGCATGGATTGCTAATTTGTCCTCCAGATGCATCATCGCCGGCACTGTGACGTCATGTGCAATGGGTCTATACATACAAGAAATTGTGTTTAATGCTCTGTAGTTCAGAGCGCTGCACTGAAATCGCAAGTCAATTTCTGCTTATATTTTAGTTGCATTTTTCGCATGTGCTCCCGGCTGGATCTAAGAATCTATGTAAACTTTCACTTGTAATTTTTACCTACAAAAATCCATATCAACATTCGGTAGTCTATAGTGCGAGATACCTCAAATGTTGTTTATTTACACATAGCTCAGTCTGGTTTTCACCAGCACGCACTGCAGACCTTACTGATATACCGAATTTTGTAACGAAGTAGCTAGGAGGGAATGAGGGATAGACAGTGATAGACCGGCTGCTGATAATGCAACATCAAAATGGATGGTTCAGATAATTAAGTGGATAATTAAATTGTTCTCTCTGGAACAAAATTATCAGGGGAGTTGAAGCGCTAGAAAGTAATTGCGCCTCTAAAAATCTGCACGCGCATGAGTATAGGCAAGAGAGGTCAAAGAATGCCTTCAAAACAGTTTTGTTTTGAATTTTTTTCTGCCCAGCTTATGACGATCGCTAGTGAAAACCATATAGGGTGTCCCATGTCCCATAGAACTGCTTCAAAAAGGGGGGGGGGCAACAGGGCAATTTGGCCTGGATCGCCTGCTATGGAGGGGCCCCATATAAGGAACAGGGATAAAGTAAAGTACTGTATGCATAGAAACCACAATTAAATATTTTTCCAGAATGCAGGAAGTGCTATTTAGGGACAAGAGATTTCAGAATGGAGAATGCCCCGACCCAGAACTGTTTAAGTACAGAATAGCATTGAAAATGTTATCTAAATTCAAAACCGAAGGAAATAATCTTAATAAATTGTCCTAAAAGTTCAAGAATATGGAAATCAATCTCTAAAAGAGTACATATTAACTTCAAGAATCTTTGACGATAGAAAATCAGTAACAATTTTAATTAATCAATGTGAGTAGCGATTTTCTTTCGAAAGGGAGAAAAGGATTTGCTCTCTCTAATTTCTTTAGGAATAGAATTCCAAAGGTGTATGACGGAGCACACCTTTGGAATTCTATTCCTAAAGAAATTAGAGCAAATCCTTTTCTTCCTTTCGAAAGAAAATCGCTACTCACATTGATTAATTAAAATTGTTACTCAGATTGATAGCTAATTGAAAATATAGAAGTCTATATACCTGTAAATAGATTATTATTTTATAGTTAATTTTGTTAGTTCATATTATACTATATATCTTATATAATTTTGTAAATAGTTTTTAAAATTATTTTCTGTATACTTTTTCGCATGCCCCTCGTGGAAATCAGCTTCGGTTGACGGGGTTAGCGTGATTAAATAAAGTTTTCTATCTATTAAATTTGTTCCGGACCCAAAAATTTCTCTGTGCGTCGTAGCGCGAAAAATGATAAAATTTATATAAATTTAGCGACATTTTAGAAAACGTTCTGACTGCCCTGCATGAGTGCATGTATTCTGGTTCTGCAACTTGAATGTCACGAATTTCAGTATATGCAGGCAAATGACACAAAGTCACTGCTAATGAGCCCAAATCTGCATTCTGCATATTCCATTTCATGCAAAGATGTACACATTTCAAATATTTTTTGAATCACATGCAAAACACCAAGCAATATTGCTCAAGATCTAGTCTTTCATACTCGTGAAATAGATTAATTATAAACTGTTGATTGTGTCACCAAACAGCGTCAGAAATCTCAAAACAAAAAGTGATTTTCTTGAACACGACTTGGTCGCTAGAAGAGAGTACCCGATCGGAATAAATATGTCACCGAAACATTTGTAAATGAATGCTTTATTGATCAAAAGGTCGGCAAACAGTATAGCCGAGCTCTCAGATTGCAATAATTTTGAGTTAAGTACTTTAACCCTGTATATTCCCAGTAAAAACTGAAAGCCATTGTATGTGGATTATATGCAAAGTGGCCATTTTGTCACCAATTTCTGCATGGTACTGAACAATATCGCATTTTATTACTGCACATAATTTAATTTATCACTGCACCAATCACATTTATCACTGCACAAATTGGTTATCACTGCACCTTAGAATAATCCCTGGTCTAGCGGTTAACCCTCAAAAGAGGAAAAAGATTCCGCATGTCTTTCCTCCATCAACTCCAAGACGCATATCAAGCGCTCCTTACTTTTTTTGTCTTTTTTTTTAATTCAGGGCTTCGACTGAAGCAAAGATCCGAAGGTCTTTTGGAAGGTAATCTCTGACATAGACATATATTAGTCTTTGATTTGAAAATATAAACCCATTGCACATGAGGTCACAGCGCCGGTGACGATGCATCTGGAGGACAAATTAAGCAATCTATGTATAGTATAACTTTTGTAAACAAAGCAAATTTTGTAAAACTTTATAATAATTTTTAATTAATTTTTGCGCTGTATGTGGTTGTTGTACCCGAACAGATATTGTTAGGAAGCATCTGGAGGACACTAAGGATTTGTGACGTCAGTGCAATGGGTCTATTGCATATATTCATATTAACAGTATAGACAAATCTTGTCATCATACAGGGGCCATAGATATCTATTAGCAAGTTCCCACTTGCTAATAAACGCTTAAAAACAACAATAACTTTCATTATTTGAATATTTTAAAAACGAATTTGGAATAGGGTTAACTTAATGTTTAAGTTCCCTGTTTAAGAAATAGGAAACAAACGAATCTTCTAATTTCATGGGAACGACCTGAGACTGCAATCACGGCTTCAATTTTTGAATTGGAGAATAATTAGATGCACTATCTAGTGTATATAAGATATCTATGACAGGGGCGGGTTTTAGTGTTGTACGAAGGCTGCATAGCGCTATCCACCGGATAATGCCGTTTTTCAAGCGTTGTAAATTCACAACTAATGGAAATAAACATTAATTTATAAATTCTAAAGTTTAATCTGGGTTATATACCACTCAACGAACAATTTTAGAAAGTTAGAAACAGTCACTATCCGGGGCCGCTTGTTTCAAAAGCTGGTTACCCTAACCCTGGGTTAACACAATCTACAAATTAAATTTTCCAACAGCTCATCCATCAAGTTGAATATGTTTTTCCAGAAATCTTTTTCGGTTCAATAGAGGTTTTATTTTCTAAAGTTTTGAAACGAATGATCGTGCAGAAATACATAAACAAAAACAGCAGGTTAAAATTTAACCCATGCAAGTTTAGCGCTAATCCAGGGACCGCGGAGCCTGTTTAAAAGTGTGTGTGGGGGGGGGGGGGGGGAGAGCATGGGAGCTATTCCACGCAGGCAGGTTGGATTTTATCCGGTAATTTTTTATCATCCACCGAAAAAGTGGAGGGGGGCATGCCCCCCGGCCCCCTGTTCCGCGGTCCCTGCAATCGGGCTTTGAACAATCGGCTCCATGCAGGTGAATAGCGTTTCGTACAACAGGCCCCAGAAATCCTCCATGCATGCAGTTGACAAACTCGACTCGAACCAGTTAATGGATTGGTTTCTTGTTTCTAGATTACAGACGACGTGGCTATAACATTCCGTACAGACAGCGAACGACATACTGGCGTTACCAAAATATCCGGCCGAAATCGAATGTATACAGCCAACAAACAGGTACTTGGTAGTCACGCATTGATACGGAGCTTTCGTCTGTAGGGAAGCAACTACCTGAAAAATACAAAGCGAAATTCGACGTTTCGAGCGCGAAGGCCCTTCGTCGCAAAGTCTGGCTACTAACTCGAAATGTCGAATTTCGCGCGCTTTGTTGAAGATAGTTGCATCCCTACCAACGTAAGCTTGTTATTGTAGTGGCACTAGACCCGACACTGGCACAAACAGTTCAACATTTTTGCTGTGTTGGTGTAGTGTTGTGTTGGCTACCTCCTCCGCATGCCATACAGCCAGTAATGTAGTGAATGAGTATGCCCGTTCGCGGGTTGAAATTTGAGACGACGGCTTGCAATTTTATTTTTTTGAAAGGCCTGTGGAGGAGGTAGTTGTTTTGGGCTAGTATTCCAAAGGTCGTAGGTTCGATTCCCACCCTGGCCAGGCATATTTTTCAAGCTTGCCCGGTGGGGATATACACACAGAGTAACATCACAAGCAACAGTTCAAGATTGTTTAATACGGAGAACATTTCAAGCTCTAGATTAACAAAATAAAGGTTTCCTGAGTTTTTTCTGTGTTATATGTGCTTGGGTGAATATGATGTTTGTGATGTTATACTCTGAGCGTATATCCACACCGGGCGAGCTTGAAAAATATGCCTGTATGGCCACGGTGGGAATTGAACCTACGACCTTTGGAATACTAACCCAATGCTCTGCCAACTGAGCTACGAGGTCAGGTCGGTTCGAGTATGTGATCTTTCGGAACTGAGTCTAGTTCCTTCGATATCAATGCAATCTGGTAAAAAGAAAATCATGATTACTAGATTGCATTGATATCGAAGGAACTAGACTCTGGGTTTCGTCCACAATATTCCACGTTATCAGCACTTATTCAAAGGTGTGAAGAGTGAAGACTGGTTAAGTAAAATGGATGAAGTTAAAATAAACTACATTGTTTTTCTAGACATAAGGAAAGCCTTTGATTCAATAAATCATGAAATATTGCTTTACAAAATGAATGAAAATTTTGATCTGGTAATGCACTGCATGGAATGGTTTGATTCCTGTCTTAAAAATAGAGAACAACAGTGTATGGTAAATTGATAGATATCTTTCCCGAAAACGATAATATGCAGAGTTTCCCATGGCTATATCTTGGGCCTTTTGCTCTTTCTGAGTTTCTGTTATATATAAATGACATGCATGCCTGAATGTCTTATATGCGCATGACTGAAATTCATGCATCGTCCAACTATAGTGTCGATCTTGTCTCTAAATTATATCAAGATATCCGAGTCAAAACCTATGTTCGCAGGATCTTCTTACAATATGGAAAACAAGATATGCAATCACTATCAGCCTATTCTATTCAATAATATACCTGTTCCTAGAGCTACGAATTATAAATGTCTAGGAGTTATTTTGGACCAAAAACTTGGCTTGGGCAATGATATTGAAATGATTTGTAAAAAGGTGTTTGCTGGAATTGCAGTCATCAGGCAAATGAAGCTTTGTGTGCCACCTGAGACACTGCATGCAAGTTATACAGGGTGTATAAAGAAAACGCAATCCTCGACTGAATTGTAAATTGCTAAACAAATAATAGACGAAAACGTTAAAGTTTACATTCATTTTAAAGCGTAGCCATTCAGCTTTCTAACAGTGGGTTGTTTCTTAAATTTGACTCATTGGTTCGCGGGTAATAATACTTTACGTTATTGCGATTGGAGATTAAAAAAAGTGAGATGGAATAACAAATCGTTCTCATGAAAATAACTGATTTTTTCATTAAAACAAACAAATGTTGCATTTTATTAAATGGATTGTAACAATAAGTATAATTACGGCTTTTCTTCCACTATTTTTAACACAGTTTGAAACTTCAAATGCGATATAATTTTGGCTTGGACCATCTAAGCTGACTGACATCAGCTTGCTATAATTTCTGTTTACATTACATCGCAATTCGATGACACTCTGTCTCAGACACCAGAATGTTTTGATTCTATGATTTTTAGCATTCGTTTAGGATTTTCAAACAACCTGGTCTCTTTTAAAATACTTTTAATTTGTTCTTACGTGGTTTTCCAGATGTAGTGACGACAACATTAAAGTTTAAAGAAGAAAATTCTAACATTTAAACCGACTAAACAATAACATAGTAGACTTGCATAATTAAACAGCAACTAAAAATTATAGGTTTTACTAAATCTTTTCCTGTGCAATCATTACTAGCATTGGAGACAAGGATAATAGTTTGTTTGAAAGAGAAAAGAACAGGCTTTGAAGTAAGCCTAAATGCGTTTAACTAGAAATAGTATTTCGAAAGTTATTAAGCATAAAAGATGAATTGCGTTTATTTTGATACACCCTGTATATATTGCTCTTGTGCAACCCTATTTTATCTTTTTGATCATTGTAGTTTCTCACTCGCTTGGGCGGAAACTTTTTGTATATAAAAGTTGATTTCAAATGATCTCGTTGCACCTAATTTGAATAATTTGTTTCTAAAAATTATAGTATAATTGTCCTATTTAATAATAATAAAAGCATTTATTTAAATACGATGATATTACAGCATAGCTAATGTGGTCATGTGACTATAACACTGTACATTCTAACTAACTAAAGCCTGGTTCACATTGATCGGCGATGTTCTACGATCCATTGTCTGTGAGCAACGAAGAAGAAAATGCACAAAACATTTTATGCATCAATGACCACCGACAATGGACATCGCCGATGTTTACGTGAACCAGGCTTAATAATAGAATGTGGCTAATTAGCCTTTCTCACGATGACGAATATCCGCTATTTTTGGGTGGCATCCAATTCTCGTTAATTAACCAATCCAGACAATTAAAACAATGTGAAAAGCAATTTTTCAAATTAAACTTATTAACTTATCATTTACAAAGCAAATTTACCATCATTTGTAAAAAAAAAATTATAAAAAGTTGCTGTTATGTTAGTCCGTGTGTTGTGACCTCGAAAAGTGCCTAGAAAACGATTTTCATTAATTAAGCATGTCTTAGAACTGAAATACTTTTACGGGAACTAACACTTTCGAACACGCTGAGTTCAAATCCGAAAAGTTCCCACTCCGTAGACCCGCAGTTTGTTCACAAAATGCTATTTTATCTTCACTAATTTCACAACAAATTTTTTCATTGTTCAACGATACGGATCGATGACGATACACGATTATGTGACTCAAAAGGACCAATTTCTATTAACCATTCTTCCTTTTAACAAAAGATCGGCTTTGCTCGAATCATTTTGGATTATGTAATCTTATGCGTGTTGGACGTAAACAACATATCTTGTCTACAACTTTGAGAAGGTACAGATAATTCCTTCTAATATCCTTAGTTCTGGAACTATCTCTGTGAAATCACAAGGACGTTAATGTCAAGTCTTTGGGCTATGTCTCTGGGCTGAGAAATAATTCTTCACATGCGATCAAAATGTTTTATACAAAGATATAAAACGGTAATCTATATGTAATGGATCAGCATTGAAATTTCCAACACGGTTTCCAAAACGTAATTCAAGAGTTAACTTATCATTGCATTAGAACTATTACATCAGTTGGTGTCATACTGTGCGATAAACAAGTATTATTGGAAAGAGGGCTTCTATATATACGTCGAAATCATCAAATAAACAGCTCATACACACATTTCTCCACTTCGCGGCCACAGAGCATATTTTATACTTTGTGACTGATCCTTGTCTTTGATTTGAACATTTATTCTTATAGTTTAAGGTTATTTAAGATTGATCCTGTCGTAAGTCTTCTACTTGCAACCATTCGACAATATTTCGTTTTAGCGTTGTCTTTGCCGTTACGTTGGCTTCGTGTTACTTTTGTTTTAAATATCTTGATCGCGTTAAATTAGTTACTTTTCAGGCCAGTGACATAGCTAAAAGACTTGACATTAATGTCCGTGTGATTTTATAGAGATATCTCTAGAACTGAGGATTTTAGAAATGGATCAATCGGTGGGGGCGTTGGTCTCTTATTCAAGGAAAGTCTTAATATTAAGCGTAATGTACAGGAGGTATTTAGGTCATTTGAATACCTTGACAGTTCTTTTTTGAACTTTCTACATATTAGAATTATTGTTGTATATCGGCCGCCTCCTTCATCGGCTAACTCATTGACATCTACTCTATTCTTTGAAGAGTTCTCATCCTTTTTGGAAGGAATTATTGTATCACCCGGGCAACTCTTGATAGCTGGAGATTTCAATTTTCATCTGGACAATCCTAATGACCCTCTTACCAAACGGTTCGTGGATCTTCTCGCTTCCTTTGATTTGAAGCAGTACATTTCTGGATCTACACATGCAAGTGGTCACACACTGGATTTAATTATAACGCGATCTGAAGAAAACATTGTTAACCATTACAACATCTTCGATCCTCTGATTTCTGATCATTCAGTTGTGCATTTACAACTATTGATTAGGAAACCGAAGTTTGTGAAGAAACATTTGCTTCTTCGTAATTTGCGGGCGGTTAATATTCATAAATTCAAAACGGATGTACTAAATTCTTTTCTTCTTAAGAATTTTACGACTATGGATTTGGTATCATTGGTGAATGAGTATGATTGTCTTCATACTATCTTAGATAACCATGCCCCGATTAAATCCCGGGAAATTACATTGCGCCCTAAGGCACCCTGGTATACTAACGAAATCAATGATAAGAAACGAATTCGGAGACAACTTGAGAGAAAATGGCATAAAACAAGGACGAATGCTGATTGGAATCGCTATAAACAACAATGTTATGCTGTAAATAAACTTATCGACTCCTCAAAATCGGCTTACTATACCGACTTAATTAATAATGGATCATCTGATCAAAAAACCCTTTTCAAGACTGTAAGCAATTTGCTGCATACAAATACGATTATTCGCTATCCATCTTCTCCTGACCCAATGTCACTTGCCAACTCATTTAGTGATTTCTTCACTCAGAAAATTGTTAAAATACGAAGTGATATCGAAGATGAACTCTTGAGTAAAAACATAGAAAATCCTATACCTGATGCTGATTCATGTCCTTATGAATTTCACACCTTCAGGGAGGTTGGAAAAGACGAAGTGCTCCATTTAATTCAACGTATCGCAACTAAATCCTGTTCTCTGGATCCACTCCCGGTGGTCATGCTAAATCACTGTTTTAAAGACATCTTACCCGTTGTAGCTAGAATAATCAACCTCTCCTTGGAAAGTGGTACAATGCCTGACTCTTTGAAGATTGCTGTTGTTCAACCGCTATTAAAAAAGTACAATCTTTCCTATGAAGAATTCTGCAGTTTTCGTCCAATATCAAATCTGAAATTTGTCTCGAAATCTATTGAGAAAGCAGTTGCTGTACAATTAACTGATTATCTTACTGAAAATCATCTACATGAGAAATTCCAGTCTGCTTATAAACTTTGTCATAGTACTGAAACAGCGCTATTGAGGGTTCAAAATGATATCCTTCAAGCTCTAGATAACGGTGATTCTGTTATTCTTGTCCTACTGGATCTGTCGGCGGCTTTTGACACCGCGGATCATTTAATGTTATTAACAAGACTATCGAAACGCTTTGGCATAAGGGGTCGTGTGTTGGATTGGCTTACCTCATACCTTACATCCAGGAAACTGTTTATTCGTGTTGAGGGAACTGATTCGTTATTGAGTGATCTTGATTGTGGTGTACCTCAGGGATCTGTGTTGGGTCCTCTGTTGTATTCACTCTATACTGCCCCTCTCGCGGATGTGGCTAGGCGCCACAATCTGCGCTTTCACTTTTTTTCTGGTGATGGGCAACTTTACATTGCATTCAAAACGAATGATCGTGATGATTTAATATCATCTAAGATCCGTATGGAGAAATGTATACTTGAATTGGGAAACTGGTTGATGTTGAATAAATTGAAACTAAATAGTGGCAAAACGGAGCTTATATTAGTCCATTCACGCTATCATCTGATGCTTCCCTTAAATTATATCATGGTGGGAAAGGAAAAAATTGTGCCAACTGTTTCAGCAAGAAATCTGGGGGTGATTTTTGATGAGTGGATCAGATTGGGCGAACATATTAATGGTATCTGCAAGTCAGCTTACTACCATATTAGGAATATTTCAAGAATTAAGAAGTATCTACCTCGAAATTGCTTAGAAATAATTATTCATGCATTTATAACTTCAAGATTGGATTATTGTAACTCCCTGTTGTATGGTGTACCCATAAATATTTGCTTCAGAAGCTTCAGAGAGTCCAAAATACTGCAGCTCGTTTACTAACTGATACTAAGAAATCGGCGCATATCACCCCAGTTCTTATCGAATTGCATTGGTTACCTGTCCAATACCGTATTCAATTCAAGATTATACTTCTTGTCTACAAAGCTGTTAATGATCTTGCTCCATCGTATCTGAAGGAACTTATGCTGTGTCGTACTTCGCAGCGTACTCTTCGATCAAATGGAAATGAATTGCTCCAGATTCCTTATTCTAGACTAAAGAGATACGGAGACAGATCGTTCTGTGTTGCTGGACCAAGATTGTGGAATGATTTACCTGTTCATCTTCGGATGTGTGAATCATTAACCATTTTTAAGCAGTTTCTTAAAACATATCTTTTTAACTTGTTTTTAAATAGTGTATGATGTATTCTATAGTTTTAACATTCTTAACACTAGTTTTAAGATTGGATTTTGTATTACTGTAAAGCGCCTAGAACAGTCTTGGTTTGTGCGCTATATAAATGTTTATTATTATTATTATATTATTATTATTATCTGTACCTTCTCAAAGTTGTAGATAAGATATATTGTTTACGTCCAACACGCATAAGATTGCACAACTCAAAATAATTCGAGCAAAACCGATCTTTTGTTACAAGGAAGAATGGTTAATAGAAGTTGGTCCTTTTGAGTGACATAATCGTGTATCGTCATCGATCCGTATCGTTGAACAATGAAAAAATTTGTTGTGAAATTGGTGAAGATAAAATAGCATTTTGTGAGAAAACTGCGGGTCACGGAGTGGGAACTTTTCGGATTTGAACTCAGCGTGTTCGAATGTGTTAGTTCCCGTAAAAATATTTCAGATCTAAGACATGCTTAATGAAAGTGAACGATATTGGGTCACAACACACGGACTATGTGGACTTATCTCGCAGACTTCGGCTGAAATGCCACCCAAAAATGGCGGCGTGAGAAAGGCTAATTTGACTAAACTAAATTAATGTTTCACATAATTACATGGAACAGAAATCACATTTCCTTTACAGCAGAGTAACACTAATATATGATGACGTAAATGGATTTCTGGAACGACATCTACAAACTACTTACCATGGTACTTTGTATACAGCTAATTCAGAAAGTGCTGTACGCCAAAAAATCACAAATGTAGCCAAGGCCAAAGACTGAATTTAAGAAAAGGAGCTTTTCATGTAATGGTGCATTTCTTTGGAATCAACCATCATTTTTGATGGGAAACAAGCTAATACTTTAAGTTCCTTTAAAAAGCTTATTCGACATCAGCGCTCGATCTAATCCTTAAATAGTTAAATCTACTTTAAAATTCAGTTGTGAATTGATAAAACACATTGTCATAGGCAGTAACTGATCGACTACACGCACTGAAGGTGCGTGCATAATTTATGCATGATACTGTTTGCAGTAGAGGTGTGCAAATCCGATCCGAATCCGATTCGTTCGGATTTCGGAACCAAAATATTCATATCGGATCGGATTGATAAAGTTGATTCGTAATCGGATCGGATCGGTCTTCGATATCCGAAATAAAATGAATTAATTATCCACGCATCGGTGCATAGGGCATCGTCTGGTAAATATGCAAAAATCGTGTAAATGACGATAGTTTAATAGCTCACTAGTATAAATGGTGAATCAGTCAATCAAAGCTCCGTTTTAACATTTTATTGATAATAGTTAAATGCAGGAACAATTTAGAGAATTTACTGACGCAATTATTTAACTGTATTTATTCATTATTTGGGATATTTTGTGGACGAGTGAATGATATACATAGCTATACTTCACTACTTCATCTTGTATTTAGTAACACTAACAGACAATATTATCAGTCTATTTGTTGATTGCACATAGCAGAACGACAGTCACTTCAGATATTTTTAAAATATATCAAAGTACCAAAAATATAATTAGGTGCATATAACTGATCCATCATTAGTAATTGTACCACAGTCGAAGAATGTAATGAGTGGACAGTTGGCAAAATTGTTGTCTACCAGTTACAGCAGGAACCATCCATAAAATGCTTAGCAGTATCAAATTATGTATAAGTTTCCAGTTGTCACTGGTAAGTAGAGGATAACAATTATTGGTTTAAGATGCAAATTTGATTACTTGTAATTAACATTCCAAATTTTCTGTGGGGTAATGCTGATGCAGCATAAACAAGTGTAATTTGAGCTGGATAGAGGATAAGCACATTCTTCGAGTTATTTAGATTGTTCATCAGAAGCAATTAAGAGTTTTGTTGTTGCTAGTTATACAATAGAATCATGTCACATAATATATAGTTTTATTATATGCCAAGCATTTGTTTTGATGAATCGCGCAATTTGATTGGCTGCTGATGAGGCCGGATTTTCCCGTATTGCCCACGGGCAATACGCGATTTTTAATATTGCCCTGCGACGAGAGCCGAGTTTCAAACGGCAAAAAGTGTCTAAAAGTCTTTCAAAACTATTCAAAACGAAGAAAAATAAAGCTAAAATGAAAAAGGAGCAACTGCTGTGGTTAAAGAACTTTCTCCATACGTTTTTGTTAGCGAAAGTCAAAATTACAAAGTAAATTTTACAATGTTCATAACTATAAAAGCAGTCAAGAATAGTTGTGTTTTGAGTATGTGAAGAGCTGCAAATTTTATTTGCAGATAGCCAGGAGGAATTTGACACCGTCCTAAATAAAAAATACAACTAAAGCAGCCACAGATTTATAATTTTTCCCTGAAAATTTCTGTTTTTGTTAGATAATTTCTGTTTTTGTTGGTGTGTGAAGTCAGTCAGCCACGTCGGAGGTGTATTTTCGAGCTCCGCAGTTTTTATATATTTAAGTGAGCCTGACGCTGGTATTTCACTATGGATCATAATAAATATAAGCACTTCAGTATAGAGGACTCAAAACTTAAGTGGAACGGTGACCTTGAACCGCTTAAGTGTTTTATTGCGAACGAATTTAACCTATCTGGAAAATGGTCTTCCCCTGGCGGCGAGGTGAAGCTGTTTACGAACGAGAATGAAGTTTCCAGTGAGGGTGAGATTGTCAAAATTAAATGGTACCAGAGTAAGAAAACCTTGTTGTTTGAAGGATCTAGAGCTAAGCATATGGAACAGGATATCTACAGTATAAAACAATCAAACTCAAGCTTCAAGGAGGGAGAAACGTGCAACAGGTTTGATACTTCAAATTCAAATTTGCATAATAACGATAAATTTGTTGAAGCGATTAATGACTTCAAGCTTCAAATTCAACAGCTTAAGGGTGTTATGGAACAAAACAAAACTGCCATAGCTAACCTTGAAACCGTATGTCAATCCTCATCGAATGATACTGCATATATTGAACTACACACACTTAGAAAAGAATACGAACTTATTTGCTCTGAAAATGCAATTCTTAAGAAAGAAAACGCCGAATACCTTGAACGCATGCACAACTTAGTCTATATTACCTCTGATTTAAATACAAAAATTAAAATACTTGAAGAGGAGAAGGCTAGCTTAGTAACCTCAGTGCGTCTCGTAAATGAGGACAAACGGCAATTAATAATTGAAGCTAAGCGCTTAGGAAATGTTTACGAACCGGAACCGTCCTCTGAAGTCTCAAACCAAACAACGCATTGCGAAAGCACACAAAATGAAAACCCCATCGGTAATAAAGGTCAAAATATGCGAACGATTGATAAATTGCATACTACGAACAATGGGATTATTCCAATCAAGGTGAACAATGGGGGTGAGTGCAATGTAAACGAGGGCGAGACTAATGACCCTGTTATCCTGGTAAACCTCATTGAAACAGATAATACAATCTAAAGCATAAGCATGGTAATAATCCCATTGTGTCAGCAGAAGTTGCAACCTCTATTAAATACGATAATAAACAAGTAAGAAACAACAATCAAGCCACTTTTGCGGAGGTAGTGACATCTAGCCCTGCATTTAATACCTGCAACACACTTGAAAAATCTCCTACCAACAAATCCCAAAACAATTCTCTGCAAATAATCAATGATCCATATAGTGACTCTGCTGACGGGTTTATTGGTGTTGACCGGAGACGTAACAGAGTTAAGAAATTCCTGTTAAACGGGATAGCTGAAAACGTAAAAGAATGTCAAATTGTTTCCTATCTGAAACAACGGAATATAACACCTACATATATTTCCGTTTTTCCAAGCAAAAGAAAAGGTACGACATCGGCTAAAATCCATTTTCGTTCGGCCGATTGTTCGTTAGTGCAACAACAAAATTTCTGGCCTCAGTTTGTCAACTGCAAGATTTGGCAATCAAAAGGAGAAATTAGATCTAATATTACCCATAACGGGAAGTTCTCAACTTATGTATAATGGAGCAAATAGAAGTCAGAGTTTCGTCACGTAATTTTGGTTGCCGTGTGAGGCAAAGAAGGCGTACAGAAACGCGAGGTGTCAATTATAACAATCTAACCCGTATTAGATGCACAAATAATTATAATGAAAAAAACAAAAAACAAAATAAAGCTATACCATAGAATAAAGATCCATATAGAAGGGCCACTTACGTCGGAAGCTTTGAAGTTTCTGTCCTCGCGCATGTCGCATTACGCATGTTGGCTGCCATTTTCCTAGCCAGTCAATGACATTTTCTGGCCAATAAACACGCTGTACTGGCTGGCTGCTCCGCCTTCTGGCCAGTAAACTGCATATTTTTGCATAAAAAAACGAGGACACGTTGCACCCCTGAGTGGCCCTTCTATATGGATCTTTATTCTATGGCTATACTCCCGAGAATTTGCTGCTTGAACGCACGCTCAATTAATGGAAAGGTTGATGAACTTGCAGCATTTATGTCCGTCAACAAAGTTCATATAGCCGCAATTACGGAGTCTTGGTTGACTGATGAGATAGGGGACGATCAAATATCGATTGGTGATTATGTAATTCATCGTAAGGACCGGACACATGGCCGTGGGGGTGGGGTTTGCGTTTATGTGTCTCAGCAGATATCCATTACGCGATACTTGGAATTAGAAGATTTAAATCTAGAGTGTATGTGGTTGTGGGCTCGACCACCACGCCTACCGAGACCGCTATCTGCAATCGCAGTATGTGTAGTGTATAATCCACCGGACAAAAGTGTGCAAGAACAGAGGGAACTTTGCGATTACCTTGTGTCCTCTATTGATACTATACGCTCTAAATACCCTGATTGTGGCATAGTCGTTTTAGGCGATTTTAATCGTCTCAATATACAGGATTTAGTTACAAGTCACAACCTTAAGCAAGTCGTCACGCGTCCGACTAGACAAGATTCAATCTTAGACTATATTATTACGAACTTGAAATCCTTTTACAAAACACCGGATATTTCTGCTCCACTTGGAACATCGGACCATAACGTAATCATGTGGATCCCAAAAGACATTTTTAAGGATAATAATAATACGTGTACAAAGCGCACTGTGCGTCGGTATCCACAGTCAGGTTTGAATGGTTTTGGTTTATGGTCAACCAGGAATAAATGGTTTAGTGGACTCGGACTCAATCCATCGTCGGATGAGTTAGCGTCATCTTTTACCAATGATCTGAACACTGCATTCGATCATTTTTTTCCAGTGAACACAATCAAATTTCATCCCACGGACAAACCATGGATTACTGGGCACATAAAGCAACTTATTAAAGAACGCCAACGTGCTTTCCACACTGGCGACGCGCAATTGTGGCGCCATTACAGACGGAAGGTCCAGATAGAGATTAAAACCAGGAAAAATAATTTCTATACCCAAAAAATCCATAACTTGCGAAAAGACGATGTCCGTCAATGGTGGCACACTATTAACACAATGTCAGGTAGAGCGAAAAGTCAACCTCAGTTTACAATTGAGCGTGACGGACAGTTATTATCGGAAGGTGAACTGGCAGAGTCTCTAAATGATTATTTCGTAAGTGTAGCAAGTGATATCCCACCACTTGATATTTCAAGCCTTCCAACATTCTTACCAGCAGCGGTGCCGCCTCCTACAATTCATCCTCATGAGGTTTGTAGTAAGCTCTTAAAACTTCAGACTAATAAGGCTATGGGCCCGGACAGTACCGGGTGGCCCAAAAAAAAGTACTCCTGTTTGATTCGTAATAACATCTAAACAAGTATAGCTTTTAAAGAGAAATAACTTGC